TTCTCTGCAGTTTAGCAGCATTAATCATTTAAATATTATCAATAATGTAGTGCCTATATGTTGACCTTAGCTTTGCCTATTCATATAGCAAATTATTTTAGATGATAAATGTTCCTTGAACCCCTGATGACAATGTAATTCATATTAGCTTTCTGCTTTCTCATTGTAAGCAGACTCCCGTACCTTTTCATTTGGCTCATGGAGATCAGGCTAATTATCTCTCTTTCCTTGTCTTAGCTGAAGGTCCAGTGGTTCAGCCTTCAGCTCTCTGTTCTCTCTTAACTCTATCATCACTTAAGTCCCCGATTTGTCCTTCAGAAACTTCATGTCCTGAATTACCTAATCTCTGTTTGACTTGTCAATAGTTTCATAGTAATTTCCCTATGAGATAGTTCATAACTAGACATGGGTTTTATCTCATTTTCTTTTTTCTCTTTACTTTCTTTTTCAAGTTCTTTTCTTCATATTGGGATAAGTTTCCATGAACTTTCTAATTCAATAGTGAGAGTCCCATGGCAATCGGGAAACACTGCTTGCTTTTTTCTGCTCACCTTCTTGGAATTGGAAGATCTTTTAGAGGAGCTGAAGACTGTTCAGATCAAAGCTTGCTAGCCTGTTTCCTAGTAAGAGAGTTGAGCTGCACAGACCACTGAGTTTTAAGGAGAATAAATGTTATGTTATTGTAAACATCTCTGGAAATAATACTGTTCATTTCTGGGCATGCCAATTCCTGCTCTTGAAGAATGAACTCTATTTGCCTAACTTCCTGGGCTCAACGTTTTATTTTATTTCATTTTATTTTTCTTTACTTTTTGATACTGGGCATTGAACTAGGGGCACTTTACCACTGAGTCACATCCTCAGCCTTTTTTTTTTTTAGGAAGGTAGGGGGAATCAGAATTTTGCTAAGATGAGGCTGTTCTGGAACTTGCCATTTTCCTTCCTCAGCCTCCTTAGTCACTGGAATTACAGGCGTGCCCCACTGTGCCCAGCTGGGCTTAATATTTTACTGAAAAAAAAAAATGGGAGAAGAGGGTCAAATAATCTTTGTTGTTGTAAAAATAATATTTTCAGCTTATTTTTTTTTCAGATCTTCTGAAGGATTTCTGGAATTAACAAAACAAAACAAACAACAACAATAACAACAACAAAAAAACCCTTTGCTTATTCTAAGCTCTGAGCTCCCAAGTTCTTACTAATTCTTATTATTTGCTCCTCTTTGGGATTGCCAATTTGGGTCAATTGATCCAATTCAACTAAAGCTTGTCCCAGTTATTCCTGGAACCACCTCTCAAAAAACCAGGAAGACATTGTAGAAATAAAAAAGTATTTTTTTTCTTTTAAGGATTTGAGTCAATTTATAATATCTTGTAGAAACAGCTTGCCAACAATATTTCTTCTACTTATATCTTGCTTGTTGAACAGAGGGGTCTTGATATCTTAAATCATAACTATGAGATTTTAGGGATTGTTTACTTCAATAAGGAGGCAGTGAAGGAAGGAACTGTTTCTTAGGTTTTCTTTTTTCTTTTTTAGAATGGGCGATTAAACCAGGAGTACTTTACCCCTGAACTTTATCTTCAGCCTTTTTTTACTTTTTATTTTGAAACAAAGTCTTACCAAATTGTCCAGGCTGGCCTTTATCTTGCAATCCTCTGGCCTCAGCCTCCTGAGTCACTTGGATTACAAGCATGTGCGGCTGCTGTTTCTCAGTTTCTAAATAACAAATGAGAAAATAAAGAAATTAGAACAATTTAGCTTGTTAAATGAGATAGCTGTGTTATTAAAAATGCTTCTACTTTTGCAGCCTCATTGGTTGTGTTGGGGGTTGATTTTTGTGCATTGGCTCAGCTATACCAGTTGTTAAATTTTGGGATGCATCCGTGTTGATTAGTAGCAAACTGATGCTACAGAGTCCACCAAGTGCTCCAAGGACTTCATACCACCCAAGATCCAGGAATTAAGGGCTAAACTCCTCAGGGCACTGCAGGGATCTCCAAAACTCAGCTCTAATGTAAATTCATGTTTTATCCTAATTGCTCACACTTTACAATACACACACACACACACACACACACACACATACACACAGAGTTTTGTTTTGCATTGTTTGTTTTGGTTTTTAAACATCACTTCTGATATGAGAACAGTCTTCAGGCAATCCAGTAACTCTAGAATTTGAGTTTTGGCACTTGTGGATTCAATTTCTAGTTCTGAAACCAACTTTGACTTCCAACCTGCTAGATTTATGTACTTTGACTATGTCTCAGTCTATCCATCTGCACCCTGGATCTATTGAAACCAGCTCATAGGAATGGGAAATAAATCCCAGTTAGAATTTGTAAAGTGCCTAAAGGTGTTAATCATAACAAATTGGTAAGCATGTCTGTCCATGAGCCATTTCTAAGTATCAATCCACTCTCAAACTTAGCCGTTTACAACTTATTTATTAGTTATGATTTTGTAGGTTGACAGTTTGGGCTGGGTGGAGCTGGGTGGTTCTTCTGGGATCATCAGAGATCCCACATGTGGCTGTACTCAGCGGGCAGGCCTACTCCTGGGTGATTTATCCCATGGCCTCAAACACACATCTGGAAATTGATGGAGTAACCAGTCATATATCTCCAGCATCCAGAGGGAGAGCCTGGTCTTCACCTGGCAGCTGGGTTCCAAGAGCAGCCAGAGAGGATAAACTTGATGTCTGCATCCCTGAAGGATGGTGTTTGCATCCTCTTTGTTAATGTACCTTTAAGAAAAAAGTCACTTGGTAATTCTAGTTGGCCTGGTGGACACTTAGATTTCATTTTATTGATGAGAGGAGCTATGAAATATTTGTGGCCATTTTTTTCCCGTTTTCAACAACTTGTGACCAGATTTCTTCTCATGAAGAATATTTACAAATATTTTAGAGATAGCTGCACCTGTTGGTAGAAAGAATGCATGGAGAAAAGGTGAATTATTTTAATTTTAATTTCATCTACATTTCAAATTTTCTTCTGTCCTTATGAACCTTGTGACATTTATGGTCATATGAGTTTTGAAGGTAATATTTTATTATTTATTTCTGGGTACTGGGGATTGAACTCAGGAGCACTCAACCACTGAGCCACATCATCAGTCCTATTTTGTATTTTATTTAGAGACAGGGTCTTGCTGAGTTGTTAGGGCCTTGATAAGTTGCTGAGGCTGGCTTTGAACTCTTGGTCTTCCTGCCTCTGCCTGCCAAGCTGCTGGGATTACAGGCCTGTGCCCCTGCGCCTGGCTGAAGGTAATATTTTATAAAACGTGTTTTTAAATAATTTTCATTACTTAGGATTTTCTTCCTAAGTTTTTTCTTCCTGAGAAAATGATAAATTTCAAGAAATAAAGAATTCATTGTGTCTTTTGGTCCTTTCCAGTATAGGGTTAATATAGTGTTAATTAGCTAAATTATACTTCCTAGGCCAGACACAGGCAAGAATTTCACATCAAGCATGGCTATATAATTTTGTCATCTTTGCTTGTGACTCTTCATGTTTTTAGTAGTTGCATAAATCTTTGAATTAATAAAAATAAATCTCTGTTACCTCTTTGTGCCTTAAATTTTCAGTCAAAAATATTGCTTTCTTTGGTGAACTTAAAGTTTATCTCCTGTGGGATTTAATTAAAAAGTGAATGTCCAACTTTGGATTTATCTTTTTACATGTGGGAAATGTGAATTTCATCAATTTTGTTTGCTGCCAACATTTGATGCTATGATATCACATTCTACTAGCCAATTAAAATGTGCTCAATTTAGTATCTATTAAGTGTCTTATAACACATTTTCGGGTGATTTCAGAGCATTCCTACTGGCCAATTGCTGACATCAATAATAGTTATATTTAATTTGGTACTTCTCCTGTCATGTTCGTAATAGATGTGTTGCACTCAGAGGACAAAGGAGATGATAATTTTTTTCTAATGTGCCTGTAAGGAAATGACTTGAAAATTAATATATTCTTTCCAAATATATGTGATAGTATTATTTGCTGTCAAATTATTAAGTAATTTTTTAAGAGACTTTCAAAAGTATTATGGGTGAAGCAGGTCAATCTATTTATTAAGAGACAGTCTCATCTCTACCCACAACTGTGTGTTAATAGTCACTTAATTATCTCCCTTGCTGTAGTTGTATAGACATATGTGTGGTTGTATGTTTGTCCCTCTATGGCTCAAAACTCTAAATTTTTGTTGGCATCCATAACATATATTGAATTCTTCCTTCGTTATGTTTGAATTTCCTACCTGAGTATTGCCTTTTCATTTCCAAACAGCCATTAGATGCTTTGGCTAACATCTAGCTTCTTTAATAACTAAAGATGAAACCCTTCTGTGGATACCTCATCAATTAAATTTTTAGAGTTGCTTTTATACTCACAAGGCAACAGAGCTCTCTTAGTGCTCTCTGTGTATATATAGATATATATAGAGTTTGAATAATACAGTCTTCCCTTTGTATCCAAGGATTCTACATTTTGAAGTCAATCAACTGGGAATTAAAAACATTGGAAAAAATATGGCACCTACACTGAACATAGACCTTTTTTTCTCAAAATTGTTTCCTAAACAATACAATATATCAAGTCACTAGCATTTACATTGCATTATAAGTAATCTATAATTGATTTAAATTATATGGGAAGATGTTATAAAGTACATGTAAATACCATGCCAGTCTAGAGATGCTCAAGGGAAGGATCCTGGAAACAAACTTTTGAGGATACTAAGAAATGACTGCAATTAGAATCAATATGGTTTTCTAAACACTTGTTATTCAGAAAATAAATGTATCTGCTACTTGATATGAGTGGCTTTATCTGATGTTCCATTCTTAGGGGTTTGGGGAAGATCATGAAATTTGTAAGCTTGTATGTAATGAGAGAAGACAGGGATTGTCAAAAGTTACTTCATAAATTTACCTTCTGCTTTCTTCTTAAATACTTAGTTAGCTTTTCACAAAGATACACATAACGTACTCATAGGCTGTTTCGTATATTCTTTAATGTGGTGGTTAATAATAGAGTCAGAGAAAAAAACATGACCTGGTAAAGGGAGTCATTAGACACGGATCGAGAGACCTGGAACATTTGTCAAAATCAAGAGTCTTCTCTCTGTATCCCATACAAATATAGATGTTGATGGAACCTTTAGACAGGTCTCTTCATGTCATTGTAAAATGTGAAAAATCACATTCCAGAAGCAAAAAAGAAGCTAGAAATTGCTCTCCTGGACCACTCATTGCTTCCAGTATGCACATCAGCATTGACTTTCCTTTTTTCTCATTGTTCATGAGATCTTCCATGACTGGGTCTCTTCCCATTTGACAGTGGAAATGAGTAACATTTATCCTTCCACTTACCTAGAGTGTATGAAACAGTGGAAATGATAGGTTCACTTTAAGGAGACAGGTTCTAGCATGCAAATTCAACTCATTAATATGATGTTTAAGTGGCTTCCTAGTTTATCTCAAAAAAATATTTCAAGAACATATGCAAACCCTATTTAAAAATTTAATTTTCTTTTCTTTTTTTATAATTAAATGTATTTTATCAGATACATGAAAACATAAAAATGCACGTGCCGATAGGGTACCATGTGATGTTTTGATGTATGTGTACATTGTATAATGTTGAAATCACACTAAACATACTTATCTCTTCAAACATTTATCATTTCTCTATGGTGAAAACTTTCAAAAGCTTTTCTTCTTGCTCTTTGAAATATGCAATACATTATTTTCATATATAGCTACTCTCTTGTGCAATAGTACACCAGAACTTCTTTATGGAAGTATAATTTATGTATAATAAACAATATCAAATTATGCAAATTCAATCAATTTTGAGAAATGTATAGACCCATGAATTTACCACTATAATTAACATACAAAATTCTGTCATACCCAGAGCTTATTGTCCATTATTCCATCTGATCCCTAGCTCCAGCAGCCAATGAAATCTTTATTTTGTCACTAAAAATTTAACCTTTAATTCCTAGGATTTTGTGTAAATAGGATCATGCACTGTGGGATCTTTTTGATTGTGCCTATTTGCACTCAGTATTTTTATGTTATTCGCATTGTTGTACTCAATATTAATTGGTTGATATACTTATCAGTAATGGGTTTCTTTATTATTGCTGAGTTGGTAGTTCATTTAAATGCATAAATATAACACAGTTTTGTTTATTCATTCATCTCTTGATGTTCCATCGTGTTTTGATGTGTTTTTTGCTACTGAATCTTTAATACCATCTGCTAATTGTTTTATGTCCTTCATTCATATTGTGTTATTTATTATGCTACTGGACATATGGTTTCTCTATATACTGCAAAAGAACCAATATATGATTAATAGTTTATAGAGGACATGTATATTTAACTAGGATTATTTATGCCTTTTAAAAATTTGTGTGCTGAATAATTTATTTACCAAAGCAAATTCAAATTATATGTAATTTTTTTTTTCTGGAGGCCCAAAGTCAATTTTATGTCCGAGTCTTTTTATCACTTGGATGGTGGCAATGATGAGAACTTCTGTGGACATGTGTACTGATATTTGAGTAGATCAGCATCCCTCCAACAAAGTCTTCCTCGATTCAAAAACAAAAAAACAGTGCATGGTATTTAGTGGGGTTTCATTTATAAAAGTTGATGAATGAAAGGTTTTCTTTGCTCCCAATTTGAAATTTAAGCTCTTTGAGCCTTTTATTAATTTTTTTTTAAAGTGAGAGTTATCTGAACAGGAAGTTGCATTCTAGAAGGGAGAAGCAACCTCTCCATCCAGGCAAATTTATGAAGGTCAATCTTGTCCCTTCCAACCTTAGTATGGCAATCAAATCAGTGTGAGTTTAGGGAGCTATTGTTTTAAATATTTCTTTCAAATATTCAGATTCAGCCTCTTTAATCTAATATTAATATCCAACTACATTCACATTTTTAAGTTCTCCTGGGTCATCTTCTTTCCAGTTCTCTCTTGCTTCTCTCTCTCTCTAGTGTTCTTACTCCTGCATTTTACATCTGCCTTTATAGTTTTCACTCTTAAAATTTTTTTTTAAACCTGTAGCCATCAAGATCCTTCAGGGAAGGACTGAGCACAAGAGACCTGTTTTCTTCTTTCTTTCTTTCTTTCTTTCTTTCTTTCTTTCTTTCTTTCTTTCTTTCATTCTTTCATTCTTTCCTTCTTTCTTTCAACTCTGCTTTAACCGTCTTGCCTATGAAATTTTGCTTTTCTAACACAGAAAACTCAGTAATATTGCTGGAGCAAGTTCTGTGTCCTATACTCTGGCAGACCGCCTAGAACTGGTCCCGTTGGGGCTTCTGTTTTAGAAGCTGTTTTAAGATCTTTGTAGTATCATTCAGTGAGATTTCCTAAAAGAACTCCAGCCAAATAGATCTTCTCAAAATGTTTTGTCAAAGTATTTGACCACTTAATTACTGTTAAGATTATGTATGTAAAAATACAAACATCTCTGTGTATATGTGTACACTTGTGTGTATGTATGATACTCATACACACATATCTTAAAAAACTAATTACGCCCCCCCAAAGCACCTTCCACTTCTACTCCAAAAGCATTTTCTTCCTCCTACTCATATTGCTTCAACTGCACTGACTGTGTGAGGCTCCTGGGATTCTATCTCATTCCATCTCATGCTAAACTAATCACAGTATTCTTAGCTTAGTCATGGTGATATAACAATTAAGCAGTTCTACTTGTGCTTCCAAATACAGGCTGTGTCCCTGGTGAACCAGTTGGCTAAGTGGGTGAATGAGCAGTGGGAAAGGTTGAGAGAAGAGGTATTGATAGACTGGGGTGGGTCCTCCTTGAGCATTGGTAAAAGGAAATTGCCATTAATTATTTTGTTTACAACCATATTAGCAATGACTCTTACTGCAGGGAAAACTGTTCATCAGATAGGTTAGTAATGGTTAATGTCTTATATAAAAGGATTATAATTTGATAAGTATTGCTGATCTTCAAATTTAAAAATCACTCCTAGTAACAGCATAATTCATTAACTCAATCTTTAACCAGTATTTGGTGAGTTTATACTCTGTAGAACACTGTGCTGTGTCAGTGGCACAAATGAGGCATGTTCTTGGTTTTTGTGTACATTCATTAAAGTTGGTCTTTGGAACTGATTTATTAATTTATCACTCAAAAAACCTCTTATGAGTATTCATTTGTGAGTCAACAAGTATTTAGTGTTATTGAGATGCAACTAACAAATAAGTTACTCATTTCTACCCTGGAACTTACAGTCTTATGAGGGAGACAGACATGGGAACAGATAACCATAGTACATTGTGAAACATACTAATCAGAATATTGCCCAGGGCCAAGGGAATCTCAAAGTCATTGTTATTTGGCGTTCCTATTATACTGAGCCTGGTGGGAAAACTCATTTGAAGGCAGAAAGTTTTTTAGTCAGCTAAACTAATTTCTTTGCTTTGGTGAGTCTCTCTCATTTAGGGAAAACACATTTGATCATATGGTAATTGTTTTAACTGATGCAAATATGTATTTATAATGGTTATTTCAATGCTTTTTAGTATTAATTGTGCTTTTTATTTATCTTTGAAGTAATGTTTTATGTTGGAAAGAAACATTTTATAGTCCATATTTAGAGACATGCTGGGATCAAATAATTAGAATCAATGAAAGCAGGGACATTTTGACAAAAGGTGATGTATTTTCATTACAGATGAGTCTAAAATCAGATATTGATATTTATTACTGTGGGGTATGCATGCACCATCTTTTTGATTTCCACAATTTCTTCATGTTATCCCTAACTTGGCATTTTATGAGTGGACTATCTATCATGTTGTTTATAGAGATAGTTTTGGTTGCTTCTCAGCATCTGTCTCTTGCACAGAATGATCTTATAAAAAGTTAGTTATCTATTGTTTTAACAACAGTGGAATTCCACTTATGGCATTTTGCTGTTTTAGGTAATTGAATTAAATGAGAAAGCATCCAGCCTTTCTCTCAAAAATGTAATATAATGGGTCCCAGTTAAGTAATAATAAAATTTTTCTCATAGGAATTTCCAGGTAAGCAAATACACAAGGCACTTATTTTTTAAGTTTCTGTTCTTGGTTTATGGGGGACAGCATTTGAATGAGGAGCTTGTGTTTTAAGTCTCAAATAGGAAAAAAAAATGTTGTCTGGTACATTGTAGACTCATGTCTGACATGAGTCTAGTCAAAGGTCTGATATTTCATGGTTGCAACTCAAGTGTTTTTCTCTGAACGAAAGCAGAAAAATTGACCTCAGTCTTTCTTTTTGCAGAACATTAGCTAGTGCTAAACTAAACTTACCTTGCCTTCTTTCTCTGTTGGTTTCCCACCAGCTGCTGTTAAATGCTGTTTTGTTTGGCAGATGAGAAGCCAGGATCAGGCAGAGAGAGGGTTAGTGAAATCGGAGCATGCCACAAAGTGCTTGTAGAGCCTAGGACATAATAAGTGCTCAATATTTATCCACTATCACACTTATTATTCTCATTACTCTGCTTGGATTTTACACAACTGTCTCATGAGTGTCTAATTGGATAGTTTCGTATTCCAAACCATTCCCCATAGTCATTAGCAGCAGAAAATTTTCATCTTCAAATAGATCAAACTGGCAAATTTAAGAAAGATAATTATTATCTTTCCAGATTGTTCTTTTCATGACATTGTTGTGTACGAGTTGTACTGAAGCATATTCAGGTCTGTGTTAGTTTCCCATATGCTGCTGTAAAAAGTTAACTGTGATTACTGTGGCTTGAAACGTGTGGGTTTGTTCTATTGCATTATGAGGTCAGAAACTTTAAGTGACAGCAGGGTTGCATTCCTTCCAGAGGCTCTGGGGAGGAATCTATTTTCTTGCCTTTCCCACCTTCCAGCTCCAGGTCCCCCTTCCCTCCTCAGTGTAGGCAAGCACATCACTCCCTCCTCCCAAATACATTTCCTTCTCCCGTCTGACCCTCCTGCCTTCCTCTCATAGGGATCTTTGTGATTATGTTGGGTCCATCTGGATCATCCCGGATTATCTCCCTGTCTCAAGATCCTTAACTTAATCACACCTGCAAATCCCTCTCCTAGGTTCTGGGGATCAGGATCAGGATGTGGACATCTTTGGGGTCCATTGTTGAGCCTGACACAGGTCCAGTGAAAACCATTCCATTACTTGTTGGGTGGAATCACAGTGATTTAGATTTGAAAGGGATATTAGACACCTCCCCCCCCTTTTTTTGAAGTGAGGAAACTAACAATGAGGAAGGATTTTATTATTTAGGACTAGAACCTAGGAACCCAAGTCTCAGACCCCAAATGAGATCACTTTCCTCCCACTGTTTTTTTTTCAGCATTTTAAAAATTGGACCCACTGGATAATTAATTACTATTTATTAAGAGGCCACATTATAAATTCCAATTAGTACACTTCAACTGAATTGGAGCCACATTGAACTGTGAAGTGAATCTACCCTCTTGGACTTCAGTTTTGACACACTTCACAGAAGAGTTGGATACTTCAAAATTAGTTCAGTGACATTTTTTTAAAAAGGGAAAAATACCTTAGGGCTCTCCCAGAAAGCCTATAAAATTTACAACTGTGGCTCCAGTTGAAATCGTGTAGCCTAGAATTTTTCCTCCTTACAAGGGAATATGGGAACTTTGTGATACTTTTTATTCAGGCCACGGTTAAGAAATAGTCATACTTAAAAGGGTAAATAATTGACTTTCATGAACAAAGGATTGTTCTGTTACTTATTTAAGAAACTATTTAATGGGTTGTTGAGAAAACTTGAGGTACCATCCTAGGTTGCATTTGTATAATGTACTGGGATGCGATGGTCGATTAGAACAGCATGTTCTTATGTACAGTGTATATGGTTTTTATGGAGCTCACCCAAAGATAAGTTAGAAACTGGCTCACTGCCCTTTTTTCCCCCCTTTTTCTTTTTTTCCCCTTTTAGTTTGAATTTTTATAGTCTGTAGAGAATACATTTGGTCATTTTGATGTTGTGTTATTTTCTGGACTGCATTTCAGAAGGTGACCTGAAAAATTGACAATTGATCTTGTTGTCCATATTCACTAGACATTTCTGAATCACCTAACCCAATGACTAAAGGTTTATTGAGCACCTCCTGTGTTCAAAGAACTGTGTTGGGAATACCAAGATGAATTAGACAACCTTTTTATAGTGGGAAAACCACCACTTCAGATTTGACTTTAAATCTTATATTTTCTTTAGCTGTTAATAAAAGCAAGACTATGGAACAAAATGCTTAACTCCTTTGAGTCTGTTTTCTTGTCTTCAAAGGAGGAAAACGAGGTCTACCTTGCAGGGGTGTTATAAGGATTCTGGTGGTGAGGCAATACATTTGAAAACACTAAACACAGTGCCTGGTACAGAGCAGGTGTTTCATAAATGTTAGTTTCGTTCTTCAAGGAGCTCACAGTCTACTAGAGGAGAGGAGATGTCTATAAATAACAGTGATACAAGGTACAAGTGATAAGTGGAATGAGACAGGTCTGTCCAGATAAGGAGCTATTGGAGTTCAGAGATGATCTGTGTTATAAGGATCAGAGAAAGCTTTCTGGAGCATTTTCATGCCATTTTGTCTGGATGTTAAAAGAGAAAGAGGATTTAGACAAGTAGAGATACAGGCCTTGTGATGATTACTGCTATTTCCTGGTTTATCTTCCCACTAGCTCACCTTCCATGCCATGTCTTGTGCATGGTGCAGCACTTTGGTTTTGTGTTTTTGTCCCTTTCAATCTGACTTCCAGCTACATTCATGTATCAGCAGTAGCTAAGGGCAGTATGGGTGACTGCTTTTATACTTATGAAAGGTATATGCAATAGAAATTGAATAATGTTTATTTTTTCTTTGTGAAGGAGACAGTTTCTATTTTTCTAAACATTGTCTAAAGACTATGTTAACTCTTTTACCATCTGTTATAATACTGTCTCAAGAGACATGGGCTGTCTGAATATCCTGCAGAATAGTACCTTGATGTGTTATATCAGTAATATTCTGATAGGGTGGGTGAGAAAGAGGAGGCTTGTGTACCAGAGGCCTTGGTAAGACTCGTGCATCCTCAGAGAAGAAGATAAACCTTAGGAAGATCCATGAATCTGACCCTTCTGTAAAATTTTTAGAGGTGCAGTAGTTGGTGGCACATGGAGAGATCCTCTCTAGAGTAAAATGCACATTTCTGTACATTGCATTTCCTACTATCATGGAGCCTGATGTAGAGTGAGTCCCTTTGGGTTCTGGAAGTAACAAATTCCACTGGAAGGAACACTGCTCTAGCTCATATTCTGGGACACATGGAAAGTTGCCTGATCTGAATGCAGCCCAGCTACAAAGTACAAGTCTCTGTGAGAAATCAGCATATAGGCCTTGGGTTTTGGAGCTAGGCCATGCCATCACAGCACAGGATTTTACTCCTTTCAGTAAATAGCCCTTAGTGTGGTGCTAAATGCTAGTGGAAGCAGAAAACTTGACTGTAGGGAACCTAGTTATCTTATGTGAGGAAGTCTCCATCATAAGCTGAGTTCTGTTAGGCTCAATCATATTGTTGATGGGCTTAGCAGCAGTTAGTCATAATAAGGAAATGATGTATTCAAAGCTAAACCCCAAAGGACCAAAGGGCACAAGTAAACTGCATGAACTTGTACCCCAGATCCCTATGTCACCCACCATGGTTGCATCAGCCCCCATTCCTTAGGCTGCACAGGCCATAGAAATAGGAGGAAAAACTTGAGCTTGATTTATGAATGAGCTGGCGTGGCATATGGGTGGCAGCTACATTCAGGAGTGGCCCTAAATGATAGTGGAAAGGGAAAAAAATCTTTCTAGTGGGCAAATCTTCAATCTGTGTCATTCACTTCATGTAGACTGAGAAGTGAGCTCTGCTGAGAATTTATATAGATTCCTGAGCAATATCAATGGTCTGGTTAGCTGTCCAGGATCCTGAAGGAAAACCCTGGAAAACTGGAGGTAAAGAGGTCTACAATAGGGGAATATGGATAGATATTTGAGAGTGGGCACAAAGGGTGAATATTTTTGTGTCACATGTTCACTTCAACCAGAAAATACCACCAGGGTGAAAAAGAAACTGGAAATACAGTTGACAAAAGGATAATTCCCAGTTGATATTTATCATAGCTCGCTCCAGAACAGGCACAATGGCACATGATCATAATGGCCATGTTTACAGAGATAGAAGCTACTCATGAACCAAATTCCACAGATTTCCCACTTATTGAGGTCAGTATGTAGCTACTTCTGTCTCTGACGGATTAACTTGCTAGTGACAGATGCCAACATTGTCCCCAACATGGTCCTGTTACTTGTGATAAACCAGTCACTTGGTGGCAGGTCAATGACATAGGCCTTTTCTATTTTGGAGTAGCCACCAATACATCCTCAAATAAATAAAAGTTATTCTGAGTATGGGGTTGCCTTTCCTGCCTGAAGAGCCTCAATCCCTATTATCATCCAGGAGGTTAAAGAACAGGAGGTTAAAGAAGGCCCGGTTCACAGGCTTAGAATTCAACCTAATATAGTATCCAAAGGGAACCTGCTTCATAGTTAAAATGGTGTAAATTTGAGCTCATGTGCAAGGACTCTACTGGGTGCACCATCTAGATCAGCTAGCCTAAAAGAGCATTGGGCAACCTACTGCAGGTGCCACTGAGGTACCACTCCACAGGCAATATTTTGCAAAGATGAAGTGCCATTTTTCAGGATGCAGAGTGTACACTAAATCAGAGAGCTTTGGGGGCATTGTCTTCAACTGGAAAAATACATTGGCCCAGGAACAAAACAGAGGAAGTGGAAATGGCCCCACTTAACATCATTTCTACTGACTCATTGGGGAATTTTGTGTTTTCTGTTCGCCTCCCTCTGGGCTTCAAGGCTTAGAAGTCCTGGCTCACAAAGGGGATGCCTTTTTGCCAGGGAAAAATCCCATTGAACTACAAGGTATGGCTACTGTCTAGGCACTTTGGAATCTTGTGTTCAAGCACCTTTAGGCGAGAAGTAGAGTTCCCATTTTAGCAGAGGTAACTTACCTGTATCAATAGGAAGGAAAAGGACTTCTTGTATACAATGAGTAGGAAAAATGTATATTGATCCTATGTGATCCCCTTGAAAACCTCTTGATAATGAATTATAACTATGGAAGGACATGTGCAGCCACCCCAGCCCAAGGTGTGTATAATTAGCAATAAATATACGTTTCTTATCAGGAATGAGGATTTGGATCACACCCAGCTAAGCCACTGAGATCTGCAGAAGAGACAGCTGAAGGAGGGTAGAATTTGTAATGGGATATTGAAGGAGGAGGAGGAGGAGAAGTAGCAGTTGCAGCTTTGAGACCAAATGATTGACAGAGGCTGGAGCTAAGTCTCAATAGACCCCTTCTTCTAAGTTTTCCCTCAAGCAGAGAGGTCCAAAGAAATCCTAGAGGAAATCCTCTGAGAATTTGGGGACTTTAAGAAAGAACCTGCTGGAAAGACAGAAAATAAAAATAATATTAAAGAATCCACAAAGATAGCAAGAACTGTAGATGAAAATGCTTCTAAAGTGACAGAAACATCAGGAAATGGTAATTATGAAGAAGATAGAGCAGAGGGTGAAGACGAAGGAACCAAGGAAAGGATGTTCAGAGAAAATGCCTCCAGTGACAATTAAAAATGGCATTGGTTCACATCCGAAAAATCAAAGATGCAAAATAAAAATAATGTCAAGAAAATTTCCACTATTGAAA